CTTGTGCTGTCTCTGTCTAACTAACTCAGTTTAGATAGAAAACTGGTTCTCCAGCTTTCCAAGCTACGGGGATCTTAGCTAGGTTTTCCCTTTCCCTTTCCTTTCCCTTCCTTTCCTTTCCTTTCCCTTCCTTTCCTTTCCTTTCCCTTCCTTTCCCTTCCCTTCCCTTCCCTTCCCTTCCCTTCCCTTCCCTTCCCTTCCTGCAGGTAGCAGACAGATCAGGCTGGTGAACGGAACAAACCGCTGTGCTGGGAGAGTAGAGCTCTATCACGATGGCATCTGGGGCACCATCTGTGACGATAACTGGGATCTGTCGGATGCTAACGTTGTTTGCCAACAGCTGGGATGTGGACATGCCATCGAGGCGTTTGTCTCAGCTCATTATGGAGAAGGCTCCGGACAGATCTGGCTGGATGATGTGAACTGCACTGGGGCTGAATCTGATCTCTGGGCATGTCCCTCTAGGGCATGGGGCCAGCATAACTGCCAACACAAAGAGGATGCTGGAGTCCTGTGCTCAGGTGCGTTTGGAAAATTCTTTTCTGAGTCTGTGGGTTAGAGGGGGGAGGTTACATGAATGGGAAGCAGAGAATAGTGGAGACTTGCTTGGACAACCTCTTGCTCTCTTGACTACAGGGATAGTTGGTCAGCACATCCCCTGAGTCCCACCAAGACTCAAAGAGTCTACAGAAGTCTTTATTTTGTGTTAACATACATAAAAAAAGCATGTGGTGGGGTGGGATATTTGGGGTGTAAGTTGGAGGGTTTCCATAAAGATTTCCACAGCAAGGGCCTGTGAGTGTTCCTTATAGAGCAGGAGGTCATCAACTGGTTACAGCTGGCTCTGAAACCGATGGAAACAACCCACTGTGCACCGAAGTATCATATGGTGGCTCTGCTCATGCATATTTAAGACAGAGTGGCAGCTGCAAGAGAGAGGAGATACGAAGGAGAAGTGGAAAAAGGCACTGCTGGGGACATTGCTGGAGACATGGTTTCCATGCCAGAGGAAGTGTGCCTCTGAGAGGGCTGTGGTCTACGGACAAGCCATACTGGAACAGATACACTCCTGAAGGGACTGCAGCCTAGAAGACCCACACTGGAGCAGGTACAACCCCTGAAGGAACTGCAGCCTGTGGACAGCAGTTGGTCAGCCATGCTGGACCAAGTATAGACCCTGCAGGGACTGCAGCCTTTGGAAAGCTCACAATGGAGCAAATACAGCCCCTAGATGGACTGCAAGCTGTGGAGCATCCATGCTGGAACAGGGGAAAATGAATAAGAAGCAAGGAGCAGCAGAAAAACCCACAACCTTCCTCACTGCCACCCTCACTGAAAGAATTGGCAAGGAAAACAAAAGTTAGGACTAACGGAATGGATCAAAACTGTTTCCCTAAGTGTTTGTTTAATTGCTAATGTTTTCTTTTTTGCCTCGTTACCCAAAGCAATAATTACGTTAAATGCAAACAAATAAAATTAAGTTAAATTTTCCAAGTGGAAACTGTTTTGCCCCTATAAGCAGACAGTAAATGTAGGAGACGCTGTGGCAACACCAATACCTGGCATGCCCTGGGGCTGGAATAATGGTAGTGACTTTGAAGGTCCAGAGAGGTCTTGATTTTGATATTGGTAATTTGTCTTTGGTGTGGTGTGGTGTAAATGGTACTCTCATCGTCAGGGGGGGAGCGCGTGGCAGCGGGCAGCACAGGGAAAGGTACAAACACTATGTCAACAGGTGGGAAATGGAGAGTATGGAGAGCGTGACAGACCTCATCGGAGAGGAAGGTGATTGGGAAGAACTCCAGCGGCCTGGAGCCTGGATATGTTTGTGTCCAAGAATATCAGCCCAGGAAAGGGGTTATGCTGCCTATGAAACACCGAGAGAATGGTGTGTTGCTTTGCTGTGGGATACACCAGAGCCTACTGTGTGCTCACAGAGGGTTTCAAGAGGCACTGGGACAGCTTAGCAGAGCTGGGGAGTCTGGTTGATGGTCTCTGTCAAAGTAATGGACCAGTAAAGTGGTGTTAACCAGCGCTCAGCACAAAAGAGAGGATGCTGGTCAGCAGTTAGCAGCTAGTAGCACCGAAGTGGTCAAATTGCAAGTTTCAGGCTGCTTGTGGGAGCACCTACGGCTCAGATTGACTCACCTGCAGAGGGACCCTGACACCTTGGAAGGGGAAACTAGAGACTCATGACGAATTGAAAAATGAACGTCTCAGGCAGCCCCAGTTACCGTAATTAAGGAGCACTATGGAATAGGGTATGCTGCTCCCCAGACTGTGACCACTCAATAGGTCTTTGCTCTGAGTGTAAATGAATGGAGAAATGTGGAGACACTTACAGTTGCTGCTCCAGGGAGAGCCTTCTGCAGTGGCTATGGCATTGCTAGGACACCAGAGCACAAGAGGTAGAGATGAAAGGTTGAAACAGCAGGACTTTGGGGAGTTTGGGGCATAAGCTACTTGTAAAGACAGTACTGCACAATGCAGGAGGGCTTCGGGATCGGTTTATGGAGAGAGATGTTGAGCAGTGCCTAATCGTGCTGATCCTACAAACAAAATATCCCTTTGAAAGGGCTGGGAAGAAGGGGATAACCAACTGCAGTTTCCTGGACTGCTGGAGTGTGGCAGTGCCTGTAAGCAAAGTGAGAGAGACTCTGAAAAGCATATGATCATTAATGTTAGGACTGGAAATCTCCAACGGCGAGGCACAGTTACTAACGTCCCTCTGGTACCCATCTGATGGGATACCCTGTTGATCAGAGAGTGACCTAGATATACCATTCTGGAGTGAGGATGCCAGAAGAAGGAAAACTATTTTCAGATAGACATCTAGGAAACTGCTGAGCATGCTGCAAGGGATCGAGGACAGGGAAGGCTGCTTAGGCTTGTCTTGGGAAGACACAATGCAAGCAATTAGGTGGTGTGATGCCTGTGGAATAACACAATACACGGCATGAATGATGGAACAGTATGCACAGTGAGGGAAATGAATGTTTGGAGACATCTGGCAAGTGGATTATATAGACCAACCCCTTCCACCCCAGCAACGCTGGCAGATGCTGTGTTCTCATATGAGGTGTTCTCATAGTGGTAGAGCATCACAGGGGTGGCAAGAAGCTTGCCCTACTCAGACAGCAAATGCAAGTAGCACCCTAGAAGGAATAAACATATCTGTTGGCACCATGGAATGCCACTTAGGCAGAAAAGCTGGAGAGGGAGTTTTTACAAGGACATGTAGCGATAGGACAAGGAGCAATGGCTTTAAACTGAAAGAGGGGAGATTTAGATTGGATATAAGGAAGAAATTTTCCCCTCTGAGGGTGGTGAGGCACTGGCACAGGTTGCCCAGAGAAGTTGTGGCTGCCCCATCCCTGGAAGTGTTCCAGGCCAGGTTGGATGAGGCTTTGAGCAACCTGGTGTAGTGGAGGGTGTCCCTGCCCATGGCAGGGGGGTTGGAACTAGATCGTCTTTGAGGTCCCTTCCAACCAAACCATTCTATGATTCTATGATTCTATGAAATCAGACAACGTAAGTCATTACAAAATTACAACCAATCAGGAATGAGTAGAGTGGGTACATTGCCAGGCAGCTGGAAAAGTAGAGCTATGTGATGGTTTACTTAAGCCCATGAAGCCCAAAAGAAAACCTGAGCTCATTTGGGTGATAAAGTACCAGCCAGCCCTGAGGATGCTTGGATTGGGAAGTGTGGTCTCTAGTGTTCGAAGAGCAGGGTTTACTTACTGGTTAGTCTTTGGAAAAAGAACAATGAAATGTGTGCCTTTACGTAAAGTAAAGAGAAGAGAGTAATCTTTGCCTCACAAACTACATTCTTGTTCATGTGTTTTGCAGGGACAAATAATAAAATAAAAATCTGTCGAGGTTGGTATGATGTTAACTCTTTGATGTGGTTATCAGAATGAGAGGTAGTGTCTTATTGACCGTACGTGCACATCGTTAACGATGTCAACATCTGTTGTCTGAGACTAATGGTAGAGTTTATAGTGCATATATTTTATGATTGTGATGATGGTAAAGTAGAGTTTATAATGGATGTATGTTCAAAGGCCTCTTAGATTGGTGTTTCACAGAGGTGAGGGGTGAAATGTCTTGGCTACAACCAGCAGGGTTTCAGTCACCAGAGACTGCAGGGTGCCCCGTGCTTCTGCAGGAGAGCCATTCCAGCTGGCTTGGAAATTATTGTAAACAAGTCATTGCACACCAAAATCTCAACAGATCAGAGAAGCACGTGGCACCTATGCTTCAACATACCAAAGAAATATCCTTACAACTGTGGGCGGTGGCCATCACTCATGTGTGTTGATGTGGATGCTGGTGAATGCTGGCTAACCAGAGAGGATCGCTGCACGACTTTGGGTTTTAAGTGTTGGTCATTTTTAGAGTGGTTTCCTCTGGCACTTCCTCATTCAGAATGATGAACGGGATGGTTAGTAGACTCCAGATTTCACTCATCACAGCCAAGCTCCTAGCAGAACCATCTTTAATTCCATCTTTATGTCTTCATTTCTAGAGTTCCTGGCTCTGAGGCTGGTGAATGGCAATGACTGTGCTGGACGCCTAGAAGTTTTCTACAACGGGACATGGGGGAGTGTTTGCTCCAACCATATGTCTCAACTCACTGCCATAACTGTGTGCAAACACCTGAACTGCGGAGAAGGTGGGGAAATCGCAACAGACTTCAAGTACGGCAGAGGCTCTGGGCCCACGTGGCTGGACCACATCGAGTGCACTGAGCAACACAGCTTGCTCTGGCAGTGCCAGTCAGACCCCTGGGATCCTCAGTCATGTGATAACCGAGCAGAAGAGACCCATATTTCTTGCACTGGTAATGAGAAATGCATCTGCACAGGGATGCCCAGGCATAAACCTATGTATGCCCATAGAATCATAGAATCATAGAATGGTTAGGGCTGGAAGGGACCTTCAAAGGTCATCTAGTCCAACCCCCCTGCAAGGAACAGGGATATCTCCAACTAGATCAGGTTGCTCAGGGCCTCGTCCAACCTGGCCTTGAACGTCTCCAGGGATGGAGCATCCACCACCTCTCTGGGCAACCATATGGACATTGTAGTAACTACCTCGTGTTCGTTTGGTATCTGGCATACATCATTTCTAGTTTCCTGCAAATGGCACCAACATTTTTTCTTTGTTTATATCCCTGATGTAAATGAGCGACTTAAAATTACCTGTGTGTCACCAAATGTAGTTATCCAGTGGAAATTGCAGGGAAGCCCCTGACAGGATGGTCAAATGGCATATTTTCAAAGCAAAAATCTATGCTACACAGTCAGCCTGTGAGATCTGAACTAGGACCAGACTTCTCAACAAGTCTAGAGACATGTATGTGAAGAGGACATGTATGTCCATGGACAAGAGCATGACTTCTTCAGTTCTGAAAGCCCATTTCTAATGCCTGCTCTCGTAACAGTATTTCATGCTTGTGGGTTCCCACTGTAATAGAAATGAATTCTAGATGGCATTCAGATCTCATGGAAGGCATGGTAGCTGCTTCATGCAAGAAAGCAAGCACAGTCATCAGGAAGATCATTTAATTCACAGCAATAGCCAAACAATGATCCACCAAGTACTAAAGGGGTAATGGTTTTAAAATAGAGGGAGGTAGATTCAGATTGGATATTAGGAAAAAGTTTTTTACCATGAGAGTGATAGAACACTGGAACAGGTTGCCCAGAGAGGTGGTGGATGCTCCATCCCTGGAGACATTCAAGGCCAGGTTGGACGAGGCCCTGAGCAACCTGATCTAGTTGGAGATATCCCTGTTTGTTGCAGGGGGGTTGGACTAGATGACCTTTGAAGGTCTCTTCCAGCCCTAACCATTCTATGGTTCTATGATTCTAAACAGGCCGTGTATGTATTATAGGAAAAAATTAACTTGATTAATTTTCAGGCATTTTATACTCCCTCACTCTTTTCAGAGAATAATGAGATTATTTACTTCAGTATTTAAATTCTGCAGGACGAAAAGAGGCAACATCTCCAGCCACATTTGCTGAGTGTCCAAACTCTACAAGTTGTACAGGTACCTTCACCTCTTGGTTTCTCCTTATTGGTCCCCATGGACCTTCCTGCTGTTTCAGCAATGCAGAAAGTTTCTGTGTTTTGCAGACAGGGAGAAGTTACGAGTCATAGGAGGAGAGGATGAGTGTTCTGGCAGAGTGGAGATTTGGCACCAAGGCTCTTGGGGAACAGTCTGTGACGATTCCTGGGACGTGGCAGATGCTGATGTTGTATGCAGGCAGCTGGGTTGTGGATCTGCTGTGTCTGCTCTGAGTGAAGCTGCCTTTGGGGAAGGGGCTGGGCCCATCTGGTTGGAGAAGGTGCACTGTAAAGGAACAGAGCTGTCTCTTTGGGACTGTCCTGCCAAGCCCTTGTTCGGCAAAAACTGTGATCATAAGGAAGATGCTGCTGTGAATTGCTCCGGTTAGTGACTGGTCCTTTGCTTCGTTACACAGATCTGGGAAGGAGGTGGATAGAGGAACATTATGTCACCTGTACATCCCAGTGACGAGCCCCTTCATAACTTGGACTGCAGGAACCTCACGAAAGATGTGAAGGTGTCCTCCCTATTTTTCACACTTGCCTTTTTCTTAATCTGGACTCGCCTTACTTTTGCAGGTATGACAGAAGCAACAGCATCACCCACACGAGCAGGTAAAACATCCCTTCTTCCCCCTTCTTTCTCCCACCAAACGAAGACTTAATACCCCTGATACTGCAGAGCAGGTCAATCAGCAGTCTGTTTCAGCTCATAAGCAAGCATCTCCTGCAGCCTTTTGTAAAAGAGACCCAAGTGGCACTGTCTCCAGCTGCTGAATTCTAGCTGCTTGAGCAGGACCCACAGCTGGGCAGCGGGTGACCCGCCTCACTCCGCTAGCACGGGCACACCAGGTGGCTACAGAGAAGCAGCCCTTTGGGTCGCCCGATTCTCTACCTGCTGCTTCTTCATGTCCATGCAGATCCTCCCCGCCGCCCTGCGACGGACACTACGAGAATTTCAGTGCCTGTCATCCTCTGCATCATCCTGGGGGCCCTTCTCTGCCTGGTCCTTGCCATTCTTGCTGGACAGATCCGAAGTGCCAGGGCACAGCAGAGAGGTAGGTCCCTCAGGACGGGTAGGAAATGCCTCCTTGACATGGTTGGTGAGTATTTAGTTGGCTGGGGAGGCTGAGGGGATGAGTGACGGCGATGAACGGCATCTGCTGCCACACTGAGATTTTTCCCTTACCATCAGGCAGTGAAAGAGCCCAGCAGTGCCCATCACCAGCCAGCACCTCTCGGTGACTTTCTGAGCACCAAGCAGGCCATGTAGACCCCTTCAGGTCACTTCTTTTCGTGATCCTACTCTGAATATGAGAAGAGACACTGTGAGTGATCGTTGCCTTTTGCTTCCAGGCTCCAGACTGTCGTATGACCTCTTCTCTGAGGCCGTCTATGAAGAGATCGACTACAACCTGATACGGGAAAAGCAGGGCATGGCCGGCCTCCCAGGTCTGTGTGTTTAGCTCTTGTCAAGGGAAAATAACTGAGGCTAATTCCTCCTAGTGGCCCAGATCCCAATCTGTTACTTCGCAGCTCCCAAATCTACGGGGAAACGGAAAATTCCTAGATTTGAGGAGAGGGGTTTCCTGCCCGCTGGACTCTGCCAGTTCCTCTCCCAGGGACCATTCGTTTTATGCTGTCCTCCCTGCAGCCATTGAGCATAGATCAGTACAGGTCAAACAAACAAACAAAACAGGTTTTTTTCTGCAATTATTTAAAGCAGAAACAAATAAAGGAATACTTTATCTCCCTCCCTCAGCAGCTATGTGTCTCTGTAGGCTTCCTCCTGTTGACTGCTGTTCTCCTTTCATGGCTGGCGTGACTCATGAGCCATGAGAGGTGTTATGGGACCCCTGAGGGACTCCTGGCTATTCCACTACAAGCCCTTTACCTTGCAGAGGTGACACGAATCCTCTTGACTTGGGTGCCCAAGAATCCACTTGCCCAAGAATCCGCTTGACTTGGGTGGTACTACTGTAGCCTACATTTTTGCTCATGATGCAGTCTTGGCAGCTAAGGAGAGTTTAATCTGATA